TTCAAAAATGTTCATGCAAGAGGAACTTGTAGAAGAGTTGCTGTTTGTTTGATTAAAATGAGAATGCCCCATCACCCTGACCTTGCAAGCTGTGCCTGTGGGCTGAAAATACTGAATTTTGGAAAGGCTATAAGGGCAAAGCAAGCAGCAGTCAGGGCCACCAGCACTGAAAAAAAAAAAAAAACAACCAACAAAAAAAAGGTATGAGGCTGATGGACTTGATTTTATTGCAAGATAGTGAAGGGAAGGCAGACACAGAAAAAGAGAATTTGTGGAGGTACAAGGGATGCCCGGGATTTGTCAGCCCAGCTGGGGTAGGGCCACTGTGTGCAGGGATCTGGAGAAATTATCCACCCTTTTCTCCACCTGCTGCCTAAATAAAGCTGCTTGAAGAAAGAAATGCAGTTTTTACAAGCCTTGGATTTGATTTTTGTTTTAGGTTCATTTCCCTGTGTGTGTTTAAGTTTGGAATTTGTGTGTCAGCTGAGGGAAAAGGTGTCTGATAGTTGATTATTCAGATTATGGGCTGATTCTGGGTATAGTTGAATTAGAGGAAGTTAGAAGGTAGTTTTAAAAAGAAAAATAATTGGGAAGATGAGTGCAGGATGAGGTCTTGCACTGGGAGCACAAGTGGATCCTGGTTGGAGCAACAGCTGCAGGCAGCCATGGGTAAAGTCAAAAATGGGAAAATAATAAAGGCTGGGGGGGTTTGCAGCTCCAGTTTTGGAGCTGCTGCTGTGGGAGCTCAGTTTGCAGGTACCAGCTGTTACTGGGGTGGGGAGGAGATGCAAAACTCCCAATTCCATTGCTTTTATTGGCAGTGCAGTGTGGAGCTGGGGAAAATCAATCCGTGGGAATTTGGGGGTTTTAATCCCCTCCTCATTCTAATTATTATTTATTATTTATTATTTATTATTTCTATTTCTTCTGAGCAGGCTCTGAGCAAAGCCAAATCTCCCCTTAGTGCAGAGCACTGCTCCTCTTGGGTGTTCCCTTTTTCCCTGTGGGAAAGGGGGATGGGGGGGAATTGTTGAATATGGAAAATTCTCTGTGTGCTTGGTGTGAGGGAGGAGAGGGAAGTGCTCACAGTGCAGAGGGACAGCCATGAAAGGAGGGTGCTGAACTTTGTAATTATCCCCCTGAGTGTGTCTGCAAAGGCTGCAGGTTGGAACTTGCAGGGATTGAATGAATTTCGAGGTGCAGTTGCATTTTTGGCTGGTGAGATGCAGCCAGGGATGGAGCAGGTCCCCCAGGGATTTGTGCAGCCTGCTCTGGCCAGGACACTGCAGCACAGCCACACACACACAGGGGGATGTTCAGCCACAGATCCACCCTGGAAAGGGATTTAGGCTGCCCCAAATCCTGGGGTATCTTCACTGTGGTAAAGCACAGAGCTAGAACATGATTTACCTCATATCTAGCAAAAAACTCACGTTTTATTGCTATAAAATAGCAAAAAGTTGCTTGAGTGAGTTCTCATTAAAAATCCTGATTGTTTCTAAATCACAGACTGAGATTTGATAATTGCTCTGTGAAGCCATGTTCTCATGTGATCCTCAGCTGTGCTGTTTGATTGATGAAACATTTCATTTTTAGTCTTTACTCCTCACCATATGTGAAGCATTTAAAACCCCACAAATCCTGTGCTTTGCATAAAAAAAAAATCTCCAGCTCCTCCAAGGCAGCGTGTTTGGGTCCATGTGTCTGTAAATTCATCTCAGTTGTGTGTAGGAAACAACACGTGGGGCTTGCTTGGTTCTTTGGCAGTTTGGAGGCAAGAAACTGCTCAGAGTGCCCCCAAGGTACATTTCTATTCTTGCAGGTTTATTTCTAAGATAAACAGTGGTTATCTGCTTGAATCACAGATGTTAATTTGAAGATGCAAAGCCTGGCTAGGGGAGCACCAATTTTGGAGCTGCTCTTGTGGAAGTTCAGTTTGCAGGTACCAGGTGCTGGGGAGGAAATGCAAAACTTTCAGTTCCATTGCATTTATTGAATGTGCAGTCTGGAGCTGTAGAAAATCAATCAGTGGGAATTTGTGGGCTTTCCTCACCTCATTCTTCTCATTATTGACAAAAATTATAGTTGGGCTTGCAGGAAAACAAGTGTGGGAATCCTTCTGTTCTCCTGAATAGCCATAATTTACATGTGAAATTTAAGGAGCTCTCCAAAGAAGTTTGGATATAAAGGCAGGTATTGGCAGGAGCAGGTGCATTCAGATAATCCCCCCAGGTTTGTGCAGCCTGGGCTGGGGCTGGCAGCTGCTTCATTATCTTCCCTTTTCCTGACTCCTCCTGGCCTTGCCTCTAGCTGTGTTTGGGTTTGCCTCAGCCAGGTGTGCAGCAGGACAGAGGAGAAAAAAATCCAAATTCACAGCTTGCTTTGGAAATCAGACTCTTTCTGACAGTCATTTCACATGTTGTCTTTCTTGGCTTTCATTTTATTTCCTCTCTTAAAAGGTTCACTCTTTTGAAGTAATCCCCAGTTTGCATAGTCATCATCTATTAAAGTTTAAACATCTTTTTTTGAAAACATCTATTGCTCTTAGTCAGGAGCCTGTGATAATTTAGCTGTCAGTATTTCACACAGCTTCCTTTACACAATCCCATGGAGCTTGTTTTCTTGAAGGTAATGTGCAATTGTTAACTTCTGTATTGAATTTTTCCCTTTTGTTTTGTGTTTTCCTCTTCCCTCTGCATCCACTTTGTTAAGATACCACTACTTTGTTCTTTATAAACCTTTGTAAATTGGACACAAAATGCTGTGCTGGAATTTTGGAAGTGTCCAAGGCCAAGTTGGATTTGGGTTGAAGGCGTCCCTGCCCATGGAATAAATGAGCTTTAAGTCCCTTTCAACCCAAGCCATTCTATGGTTTAATGGTTCTGACTGCTCTGAGATTGCATGGAGTGTAAAGTGTCTTATAAAACTCTGTTCTCCTGGAGGGAAGACACTTTCCAAACACTTAAAAATCATCCTCCTCAATCCAGGATGTTTGAGTGTTGGTTAAATACCTGGGAACCTCATTTTCAGTGTTTTTGGGAATATTTTTTGTTAAAAGCCTCATTTTTGTTAAAAGCCTGCTAGTACAGAGCTGTGCTTGAGAAAGGAGAGAATCTGTGGGCTTTGCTTTCAGGCTCTGGGCTAGGGGCACCGTCTGAACTTGGGATTTCTGCTTTTCTCTGGCTTGAATCATACCCTAAACTCTATTTAAAGATTTTGTTTTTTGTATTTATTTTCCACATCCTTGACCCTGACTGGCGAGCTGGACATTTGTGTTTGCCTTGGCAAGCTCTGAGCTGCTCATCCAGGGCAGGATGAAAACTCTTTTTTTTTTTTTTTCCTTTTGTAAACAAACTGTTCCTTCAGTATTTTCCATAAGGATTTACACCACCATTTTGTGCCGTTTCTAGGAATGGAGAAAATCTTGCCATTCGGAGTTTTCCTTTTCCACAGCTCCTAGCACAGCAGAGAAATGTTTGATTTTGTGTTGCCCTAGGTTGGATTTGAAGAGCTTTTTTCAGAACGTTTTTAAATTCCAGAAATAGTCCATTTTTTTTTCCAGTAAGGGTTTATTAAAGCTATAGGTCAGTAGGCATTGTTGCCTGTCTAGAAAAGGGGATATTTGTATTTTTTATTTGTCTACCCAGTGCAGTGAGAACAGTGCCCCATTGTCCCAGGCACTGTGTGCATGTAAAATACTGCTTTGTGCCCTGAAGAATTTACAGCCTAAATAACTGTTCATGCTCTGCTGCGAGGGGGTTTCAGATATTTTAGTGGTCAGGATGTAAAATGAGAGAATAACTCAGCTGGCCACTTGATGCCAGCACACAAGTTGTGTTTTGGAACAGAGGAACTGGATTTTATTTCCCCTGGGACACAGAAAATGCTGCTGCTCCTTTGCTCAGGTCGTGGCCAGTGAGGGATTTCTGGGGGCTGTGTGCTCTGGAAAATTGACATTTTTGTGCTTCTCATCCAAACCACTTGTCATGTGTCATCTGCAGCACTCCACAAGTGCTGCAGATAATTCAGGCAAGTTTGAAATGCTCCCAGTCACACACTCTGTTTTATGTGGTACAAACTTGGTGTTAAACCCAGCTTAAGGCTGAGAACCCGTGTTAGTCCTGAGCTTAAACCCTGCCAGGTGGAAAGAGGGTCTTGGCCATGAGCTAAACCTCTAAAATATCAGAAAAAGATGTTTTAGGAGCATCTGTGTTTCTCAGGAAGCAAAAGCTTGGAAGATACATTGAGAATGTTTTGCCTCCAGACAGCTCTGCAAATCCCTGCTCTGACCTTCTGCCACTCCACCTCAGTGTGTTCACAAGGACACCTCAATATTCTGTGAAAAGATTCACTTTTTCCCCACTCTATAACCACTGACTGGCCCAGGGCAAGTCAGAAAGTAAAAGTACAATTATGTTATACTGCAGAAAAACATGGTGTACTTGAATTCTTTCTTAAGCAGTAGAAAGGTACAAATTTCCATGTAACTTCTTGTCCTTAAGCTGCTGTTTATGAGATCTAATATTTAAGTGTAAAATGGCCAATGAATTCTTCATGAATGTCTAGAAATTGTTCTGCAGTGTTTGGTAAAATTAGCTGTTTATTAGAAGTGATGACTCACGTGGAGTGTGTGCCAGTGAGTGAACAAACCAACCCAAAATGTCTGGGCTTTGAGCTGAGCCTCACTGTAAATGATAATAAAGAGCAAATAGCCAAATTTGTTTATTATCTGTAAATGATAATAAATACCAAATAGCCAAAGTGACAAACGCTGAAAAGTAGATGTTAAAAATACCCCCAGGATGACAAATAATTATTGCTGTGTAGGTTGTTAACAGAAGAGAAAAATACTGAGTTTTCTGGAATGCTCCATTGGAGCTAGTCAACAGTTCATAAAATGCTATTAATTATTCCTTTTAAACAGCAATGTGAACTTTTGAGAGTGTTTTCAGAGCATATTTCAACTCCACAAGCTAAAATTCCTTTTTTTTTTCTTGCAGATCTGGGACATGAGTGATGATGAAACGGTTTGAAATCAGGTGCTGAGGAGGAGGAGGAGGATGCTCTGGGCTGCAGCCCTGCCTTTTATCTCTGCTTTGAGGAGTTAATGATTGCTTACCCCTCCTGACTGCTGCAAAGACAAACAAACAGAACCCACGTTTTGCCATGAATAACTTCACTTTCAAAGCAGTCTCTTATGGACAGAACTCACCATGTTTTCATTTTTATTGTGTAAATAACTGGAGCAATGTGCTTGTGTTTAAACCTGGTCTCTCTTTTTTTGGTCGAGGTTTTTTTTTTTTTTTTCAGTATCTAAATATGGCTTACATATAAAAAATGCTGCTTAAGTAAATTTGGGTGGTTGGTTTGGGCCAGGTTTTATTTTGCTTGTCAATAACCATGTCCAAGCAGCATTTCTGAATGGCTTTTTTCATCTCTCTCAGATTTGGGGCACTTTAGTTGGAGTTTGTGAAGATTGAGCATTTTCTGCTCTCAGGAGTTAAATTTAATGCTTCAAGGTGGGCAGGAGTGGGTAAGGACCTGAACCTGCTGCCTCCACCACAGGAATTGTTTGCAAAGATGAATTTCAGGTGCAGTTGTGATGTGTCCATGGAATTGTTATTCCCTGTAAAGATCCCATCTTTTCATGCTGTGGAAACAAATTTTTTTGATTTTTGCCCAGGAAAGACCAAAACATTTATATCATGTTTAGGCTCCCCTGAGGCTGAGAAAGCTCTGTTAATATGGTAAAAAATTGCTTTAGGGGGTGGTGGGTCATTGATTCAGTCAAAGCCTGTGGGGAAATGCTTCACTGAAATGAGAAATTTGTTCTCTGACTTTGCTGCTCTTGGGTGTGGTCGTGCAGGACCTTGCAGGGGTTCAAAAAGAGCAATTCTCTTTTCCTTTTTGGTCCTTTTAATTTTTTCAAGTGGCTTCAGAGATTATGGCTGAGCACAAACAGTTTAAAAAAATAGCTCGAGGAAACAGGAGTTTGAAAATATCAAAGTGCATTACTGCAAAATTGAATCTATTGGTTTTAACTTGGAATAGGTTTTAGAAGGAAATTTGAAATCCCTTTCATAGCTTTATATTGTGGGGTTTATGAGTTAACTCACTTAGAAAAAATGGAAATCCCTTTATCTGCCAAGCAGCCTCTATTTCCCAGATATATTATGAAAATCAGTTGCTCAATCCAATTATTTTAGTTCCTTCTTTAACAGAAGCTCTGAAGAGTTTTTGGTCGACAATTTCCCAGCTTCTCTCTCATCAGAAGTTCAGTCAGGTCAAGGATATCTGCAACTCCCATCTTCTGATCAGGAAAGAAGATTTATTGAAACCTGCTGAGATTTGCACCAAGTGTCTAAAATAGCCATTATTGTCTAAAATAGCCATTATTGTCTAAAATAGCCATAATTTCTATTTATTTGTTTATTACCATAGCCATTATATTTACATTATTTCTTACCTAGGGGAATGTCTAGTTTAGGTAACTTCAATGTTATATAAAAATATATATGAGTGCAATATATTTTGGAAATCAGAGCAAATCATCTCTTGGTGGTCAGGCACTGAAGGCTGAGATTGAAAGCCTGAAATCTGCATTTTTCAAGCAGTTAAAATGCATCATGACTTTGCAGCCATGTTTTCAGCCATGCCATAGCCCAGCTGGAGCCGTGGGTTGGTGCCAGGAGAGTTGAAAGGGAATAATCTGCTTTTTGGATCTCTGGGAGCTGCTGACCCGTGGAGTGTGAGCAGCTCTGCAGTTTGGGGTTATCTGAGACTTGAAAGCTGCACATCTTTCTGAGCCTGGTGAATGTGAATGATTGTTTGCAATGCCTGGCACTGGTGGGAAGTGCTGTGCAGGGCAGCAGGAGCACAAGGGATCAGGGCTTTCCATGGCTCCTTACTCTGCCCTCCCCTGGCACCCAGCTCTGCCAGGCTGGGCTCTTCCCTGCCCATGTGCTTCCCAGATGTGCCTGATGTGCAGAAACGCTTCCCTTGGCTGACTAAAATGTTGTTTGCTTTCTCCTTGTGGGACCAGAATTGTTCTTCTTTCACTTTTCCTGAATTTCTGGGCATTTACTGAGTGAGAAATCCTGAGAATCCATTCCAATGAATGAATGAATGTACATTCAAATACTAACAGCAGATAAACACATTTATTTGCTGCCTTGTATGCACTTCCTGCAGGATTTCTGCACAGACCCCAGCTCCAGTGCTTGCTGTTTAATGGGACAAACTAAACTTTCCATTTCTTCATGTAGGAGCTGGGATTTTCATGTTCTTTGTGCTGCCAGGAGCTCCTCCACCATGGCACCAAAGAGAAAAACACTGAATTTTCTCCATTGGTGCCAGTCAACAGTTCATAAAATGCTATTTATGATTCCTTTTAAAAAGTAAATTCAAATAGTAAACAGTGAAGACCCTGAACTTCAACTGGAGAACCCAGCCAGGGCTTTTCAGGTATGAACCAAATCTGTTGGGAAAAGGGAATGAGCAGCCTAAGAGGATCCTGCTCATTTTCCTAAATTATCTAATAGGGATCTAGTGGCATTTTATGGCAACCTGCAGCTGTGCCACTCCTGTGCCTCACCTGGGGACATTTAATTCTGTTAGAAGATCTCAGTGGAGAGCTCTGACACCACTTTTGTACTTGAGCATTAAAGAAACTGATGGAATGGCAGCTTCTGTTGTGATTTCACACTGTGCCAGCTGGAATTTTGCTTCAGTATCACCCCTGCAGTGTGTCCTGCTGAGATTTAGAATTTGTTACGTGAACCCCATCCATCAGAGTGAGGAATCCGAGATTCTGTGGGAGTTTTCTTCCTTGGAGCCCTGGAATCACGGGGAATGGATTTCCCTCAGGGACACCTGGGGCCCGCCCTGGTGCCATCACAGCCATGGCCAGAGCCCTTCCCAGAGGGGCTGCTCTGAGTCTGGAGCCTTCAGCACTGGATGTGAAAATCCCACACAGATCCACGGAGGAGGATTCCCCATGGCCCAGGCAGGTTGGCTGGGAAGGAACCACAGGAGTTCCATTCCCAAGAACTAAAGAGATTCTGCTTCAGTGGAAGGCAGCAGCACTGGAGGTCTTTTGGCACAACAAAGGAAACTGCAGTGACTGTTCCAGGCCTTAAAATCATGGAGTCTGAGCTTGGAAAAACGTTTTCCCTTCCCTGTGTGCTCAGAGAAGCCCAGTGAGGTAAACCAGAATTTCCGTTTTGTCATCTTTGATATTCCCATGCCACGTTCTGCATGTCCCTGCCCATGGCAGGGGGTGGCACTAGATCATCGTCAAGGTCCTTTCCAACCCCTTAGCATTACATGACTCTAATCCTGTTTCTTTGTATAAATTCTGGCTGCTCACCTTAAATAGATGCAACAGAAGTATTTGCAAAACTGAGTCACTCTGCCATCTGTAAAACTTTATTTTGGTTTTTCACTTGTGCCGTTGTAGAAAACTCCCTGAAATGGGTTTTATTTCTGAGCTTTGCTCTGTGGAATCATCAGATAACACTTGTTTCTCCCTCTTAGTGAACAGATTCTTCCTGGAGATCTGTTAAGTTGCATAGCTGGGATTGGTGATGGAATCAGAGGAGCATTTGGTGGGAAAAGACCCTTAAGGTGATCCTGTGCAAGGGCTGCTCCATCCTCCACTGCTCTGGGACTGTGCTGGGCCAGCTCCCACCTTCCCTTTGAGTTTCTGCCCCTTTTTCCAGCCACACCATGAAACCAATGAGATTCTGAGATGGGGTTTGGGAACAGACTTTGCAGGATTCTCACCGAGGCCAGGGATGGGTGAGGTCACTGGTGGTGATCAAGGACACTGTGCCTCTCACAGAATCCATGAGTTTATTTTTATATAGTTCCTCTTCAAAGTATAATCAAATTTTAAGAGGTCCAGGCGAGTCCCAGCTCTCAGTTCTTGTGGGAATAGGAAGGATTGCTCACATTCTTGCAGAAGAAAATCCATTTCTAGCTGGCACACAGCCAGCCTGTCTGCTCCTTCCACGTGCTCCAGGCCACTGCGGGTGTCCCTGGCTCAGGGATTGCTGCTCTGGGACTTTGCATTCAGGGGGCACAGGAAGAGAGAGCAGGAGCAGCTCAGTGGTGGGATTTTACTGCCAAATTCTGAATTTCTTTTTGAAATAACAATGCAAGGCTTTCCTTAGAAACAAATAAGCATTTATACTCCAAAGAGAGCCATTAAGGAAGTATTTGCAACATGGGAAATTTTAGCTGACTTCATAAGAAACAGAGTCTGGAAGATGTCTCCAGCCTGTTACCATTTGGCTTCATTAATTCCTATTTTTCTTTTTTTATTTCCATTTTCAGTGCAGCTGATGTGCTCGTGCATATCCTGCCAGAATGAAACTTTCCTTCCAGAGGCTGTTGTGCACCTTTGCTCTTGCAGAGCACCTGGATGAGCTGTTTTAAAAGGCAGAAATATTACACTAGGAGGACTTTGGACTGTGCCAGGGTATAAATTCCTAACCCGTGAGAACCCTGCCTACCTGTCCCATTTCCAGCCCTCCTTCCCTTGCAGCTGCCTGGGTCTCCTCCAGAGCCTAAAAACACCACACAGGTCACGCTTTAGGTCTGAAATTCATCTGGACCTGCCCTCTCTGCTGCCTCCTCAGCTTCCCAGTATAATCATTTCTGGAAAGTTCATTTTCTTACCTGTGCAACGCTCGGCAGGTTTGGAAGTAAAAAACCCCAACAGTTCATTGACTTTTTTTTTTTTCTCTCATTTTACTTTAATTGATAACCTATCAAGAATCCCTCTGGGCTTTATTCTCAGTTATCCTGGGTCAAAACTGTTGTTTTGTTGCCGTGTTGAAGGTTTAATAACCAGGCTGAGGCTCATTCTCCTCTGTAGCCCCCTTTTTCTTCAGGCCAGCACTGCCACCCAGCAATCCTCATCCTTCCACCAGTCCAGCTTGGGAAGGAATGCCTGGAATGAGTCACTTGAGGATGATTTTAACCTGAAGCTCCTCCCAAAAGAATTACCAGCACGAGGCTGGAGTGGCAGGGATGTGCTTTGAGCCCCTTCAGGTATTCCATGTCTCAGGGCAGTTTGTTCAGCTCATTTCCCAGTGCAGATATCTCAGCCCAGAATGAGGATGCAGATGTTTTCTCCAACCATATTTAAGTTCAAGCTCTAATTGCAGCCTCACTAATTATTATCAGCCTGTTGTGACTTAACCACAGCACTTTGTCAAGTGCAGTGGAATTATTTAGGATGGATTTTCAGAACCCACCAG